TTTTTACCCTGGAACATAAATCAAACTGGCTCTTTTGCAACACGCTGGGGTCTCATTTTATATGCAGCTTAAAGCTTCCTCACTAATGATTCCACCAAAGTTACATATTTTATGTATGAAAATAGAGACTGGAAACTGCAAGAAAACACTGATTCTGGTTTCCTGATGTTCACTGACCTGATTTTAAGTGACCGCCACATACTGGAAACCCACATTTATTAATTCACTATCATATTAGCAAAGAGAATCAAAGGGAAACTGAATTTTAAAAGCTAGAACTCGGTAATTTGGGGCATTTTTCTCGATAAATCTCTCACGTAATAAGTCAATCAAAACAATCAAAATAATGCTTATTAATTTTCATTTACTGAGGGGCAATCATTCTCAAAACTGATTTACACTGACTCAATTACTTTTAACCCATGTGAGGCATTTCACAACCTAAGGTCCTTGGGCTTGTTTGTCTGTTATCAAAAAATAAAAAAAAAAAGCTGTTGATTAGAATTAAAAATGTAATCAAAGCTTTAAGAGATGCTTCGAAGAATCGTGCCTGAATCCCTGACGAATATCCGGGTGTCTACTACTGATGGTCCTGTGAAAGCCCTCAATAAAAAATTTTTTTTTGCTTTGTTGTTTTATTTAAAAAAGGAAAACAAAAGAATTAACATTGGGTGAAAATTTTCTCCTGAACATAGATCACACTTTCTCCCTGTCAATATGTTCTGGTCTCACTTTCTCTGCAACATCCATAAAACGTATTGCCAAATGATTCCATCAATATTTCTTCTTTCATGTATTATTTCCAAGTATTCACTGACGTTATTTCGGCTGACTGGAACTTAATAAAAATCTGAATTTATTTTTTACAGCTAGATCTAAATAATGTTTGGCATTTTATTTTCATAATAAGTCAATCAAAATATTGCTTAATAATTTTTCCCGTACGGAGGTGTAATCATTCTCAAAACGGATTTGCACCGACTGATTTCTCAACTACTTTCATTCCACGTAAGACGTTTCACAACCTAAGTCCCTTGATCTTGTTTGATTTGTCTGTTTGAAAAATCTTTGATTGAAAACTAAGTAATCAAGCCTTTAAAATAGTTCAGGGGTGCTTCAAGGAACATGTTGTCTATTCTGCTATAGACCCTCCTTTGTCTTTGAAAGCTCCTAATTAAATCAAAAATAGAGTTCTCTTGAAAAGTAAAAAAAAAAAAACTTTTCAAAAGTAAACAAAAGTGATAACATAAGGTGAATTTTTCTCATGACCATGGATCACACTTGTTTATTGTACATGTTTTAGTCTCATTTTATACTTAGGAATCTTTATCCAAGTTATCTATCTAGTGAGCCCACTGATATTATTTATTTCATGTATTATTTCCAAGTATCCATTCACTCACCTTATTTCAACTGACCAGACATTACAAAAAGCCCAAATTCATTATTTCACTATCAAATCAGCAAAAAGAAACCAAAATGTGCAGCTATTTTTTTAATTCTTTTTGTTCAATAAAAAATCTAAACCAAAAATAATACATATTAATTCTAATTTAATTCTGGTTTTCTTCACAAACTTTACAAATATATCCTCTATATCTGAATTATCACTATATCCTCATCCTAGTGAGTTACAGTGAACCATGTGCATCATCTGTTTTAAGCCTGCGCTTTACAATCACTAGATGATTCTGTATCATAGTGCTGATGCGGTTTAATGGTATGATTATAATAGAGTGCTCAACAATGCAAAAACCACTGAGCAGAATGACAAAATGTATCACTTTCAGCACCATACTAACAGCCCCATAGCACACTGTATAAGCAAGCAGGCCAACAGTGTGCCTTTTTTCAGCCTGAAGGTACAGGCAGATAATAAGCTGTGGTGGTTCAAACAGAACATATTTCAAGAGGTTTTTTTTAGGTAAAATAAGACATCTATGTCTGCGGGACTATTCTAGGAGATCATAGCAGCACCGAGTCTGTGAATGCTCTGAGATCTGACTATCGTCTGCTATGTCTGCTATTAGCTTTCCCGTTTTCCGAGCACATATCTAATCAGAGCTCAAAGTAACTGTGGGCCCGTCTCATGGTGAAACTCTGTTAGGGTTCGATGTTATGTGAGGTATGTTTCACATATTAAGAGAGCTGGTAGTCTGGTGCAAAATGCAGAAAACTAGAGTTATTGTTTGAGGGAAGGAAAGGGTAGGAGGAAGGATGTGTTAACACATGGCCAGAGGTTTAGATGGCAGAGGAAGGCAAGCAAGGACCTAGTCTCATTGTTTTAAAATGGGAGATGTCGTATAGTGCAGGAAAGGGCTTTTGAATTAGGTTAAGCTCAGCACACAAAGTGGGGCTGAAACCAGGAACTGAAACCAGGAATGTGAATCATCATCACGTTATGAAACAGAGCACTGAAAGTCTATGCTTCTGTTATCATTGAAAATAATGTTTTATTATTACAGCGCTAGGATTTGTTGTTATTTTTTTACAGCTCAAGCCAGGAAAGCGACAGTTTATTTCTGCAGGAAGGCTGGCTGTCAACCTCGCTGAGCATAATAAACATCACCTTCTATCTACAAGGCTCTCTAACACAAACCTTTACTTTGCCATGCATAATTTAACTAAATAGAGAGCCGAATCCAAGAACCTGATTCTTTTTTTGCAGAATCACTTGTTAAAATGCTTCTGGGGAAATCTGTATTTTATTCTGCATGCCTACTAAATGGAATTAATTGCACAAGTGCTTAAGTTGGACTCTCTATTAACCCTTGACAATATAAATAGAGACTTTAGTAAGCAAGCATGCTAACACTTATTACAAAACTGATTATATGCCTGCTTGTCTTAATAATCCCATGTGTATTTGTGTGTCTTGTTGTCTGTCTGCAACAGATTATATTCTCTGCCAAGTTGTGTTTTCATTTCTCGAGGTTTCCATGTGAGCAGAAGATGCTTAACATACGATCCCTTATTTAAATTACAGGCTGCTTCCATTGCAGGGTGAGACACTGTTATTGGAGCCTTCCAAATCTAAATCAAATATTGTGTTACGGTAACAGTGCCAAACAAAGAAAGTGAGGCCCTGGTCATTCAAGCAGAACAAACCAAATTATCACAACCCTCCTAATTCGTTCCATGTTTTCCCCAGCAAGGAGCTTAGTATGTCTTGTGCATCTAAACAGAAAGGAATCTGTGACCTAATTAAAAGAAGACAGATAGACCCACAGTCAGCAGAATGCTTGATTGCTGCGGTTGCACATTAAACAGCTTCAGGTGCTTCACAACATCAGTGCTGCGTGAGTGCCATTACTGAACGTGACCTAAGATGCTCTTTGACACATCTCGCATTCACAGTGTGATGTGGCTCTCTCTCCAGAGAGGCAGACTGAGACTGTCAGAAAAGTAAACCAAAAACATCCCCCGCAGCAGGTGTGATTTTGGACAGGTAAACACTACTGAGTCCCCATCTTTCTTCACTGTTTTACAACTAATCTGAAAACAAACAACGAAAGCTTAGCAGACACCGACAATAAACTGCAATATTTGAAGAGAAAGCTATATTCTTACAACAGTTTGATGAATATTTACTGTAAAACGAATAATCGTTTTAGTCTGTAAAAGCAAAGCAAAGAACTATGGTAACACTTTGATATAAGCAGAAATATTAATGATATCCACAACATTCACAGTCCTTGAGCGTCCTGGAGACAGAGCTGTCCTTTAACAGATAGAATGGCAAAAATGTCTTCACTGTAGACAGATGCACATCATCCAACGCTGACTATTGCTCACCTGCTTGGTGGATTCTGTTGAGACACCTATCTCAGCCGCAGCACTGACTCAACACAACGTCAACCAGCAACCTACATTTTATCCACCCTTTGTTTAAACACTGAGATCCACACAAAGAGTTTACACTGAATCTCTTTGCTGATGGCCATTTGGGTGCTGAAAGTCAAAAGGGCGAGCCTACAGCTACCCAAGCAGACACAGAACGCAAATGACTATTAAGGCTGTTTTAACTGTCAAACACCTGCAAGTATTTGGGAGGCAGACAACTTACAATGAACCATGTTGTTTATTATCAGTGTGGCTTTTTTTCTTTTCTTTTAAGGTTTAGGCTATGTTACTACTTCATTTTTCTTAGGGAGAGTACACGTCTGCGGTCACACGAATCTGACACAAGTTCATATTTATATATATTTTTTAAATTTATTTTTTCAGCGTGAGGTCAACATCGATGGATTCTGCCGCCTTCACAGTTTCACATCAAGGTCATCTGCAACCCCGGACGCCTCTTCTGTAAATAAGAGCCAAAGCTTTCACTCATATATCCGCATGATTGACGTATCCTGAGGTGCACTGGCCTGCTGGATATTCCTTCTCTTACAAAGCCGTTGGATTTACTCTGGATTTCAGACTGCGGTTGATCAAACCAGCACAGCCCCCAAATAAGCTCTAGCTGTACTCAAATGACAACCACATAAAACAGGAGAGGAAATACTGATGAGGTGAACACTTGGTCTGTCTGTCATCTATCATGCCAGAGCATGTGATTTGTCATTACGCCCTGCAGTGAGGCAGGTACTTGCGGCTACAGAATAATAATTATGTGTACACCCTGGCCGAGAAGATGTCATGGGATAATGTGATTGCATTGATTATATTCCGGAGCGGTTATGGGTATCACTGCTTATTACTTCGCCTTAGCGACGTCTCACATCCTAGCGACGCCCATGCAGCCACAAGCCTCTGGACCATCATCTGTACAAATGCTGGCACTATATTACATTTTACCCAATCGTCCATTAAGGCCAGTTTCCGCTCCCCGTAAGTACAATAATGGCAGGCCACATTCCCATGGGCACCAGTAACATCCAAAGTCAGCGCTTTCGGAGCAATTCAGTGACACGGTTTGACATAAAGCCAAGACGTTTACCAGTAATGTCTGGAAAAAATTCCCATCATTTGTGTCGGTACACAGAGCGGGCTCTTACCTTATCGCCAGTCGCAGCAGTATAGGCGCATGTATAGCTTACACATCCAGCGCAGAGAAGAGTCGGGAATAACCTTTCTCCTTCTTCTCCTTCTTTGCTCTATACAGTCACCAGAACGCAATTCTTGTGTACAAACGTATCTTCCTAGTCGATAAATTTCAGTGGTTGGTTTGTGCCTCGACTCCGGCTCTAGTTAATTCTCGCGGCTGCAGAACGACATTGGCAAGTGTTCCTGAAAGAGGGTATCGAAATAAAGAAGCCGAGGGTGTAACAAACCAATAGCTGCGTGCTTAGTATCCCGATCAGAGCTCGCACAGTAGGAGGTATCACGTCCGTCAGTCCGTCCAAACGCACTGAGTCCAGCGGAGCGCCGGAGGAGGACAGAGGCGTATCTCTGTCTCTCCCTCTCTCTATCCGTCTGTCTGTATCCCTTCCTCCCTCCCTCCCTCTCTCTTTTTATCTTTCTCGGCTGCCTTTATGTTCTTAGTGACTTCTGCTGAAGTCCACGGGCGCAGAGCGCAGTGGAGCAGAGGACCGTGGTCGGCGCAGAGAGAGAGAGGGGTCAGAAATGACAAACCAATTTGGAGGCGCGGTGAATGCTCGGCTGATCAGAGCGCAGCCCGGCGCGAGGAGCGTTGCGTTGCAGGCGGGCGGGGAGCAGGGTGGATGGAGGGCTGGGGAGAGGGTGATGATTCTTGCCTTGGGGATGCAGGGAGAGAAATGGGGAGACGAGAACTAGGGTGTGCAGTGGAAAACAAGGAACTGGATCTGGCTCCTAAATCTCTGGACCTAGAGCTCCACCTGCCGTGTGAGAACACGTAAGCGTTCCCACAAATTCCACATTGTTAGCTAATCAAGAGGGACAAGGGGGGAAACCACAGGGCTGGTTTCGGTTAATCGCACCATGGAACCCATTAAATGATTTTGCTACGGTGACCTGCAGAAGTTATCCATATGCCTACAGAAAGTCAGACTATGAGTTGAGGGGCTGTTTTACAGATCAATCCGAACGGGTTTTCCCTGTAGCGGAAAACCTGACATTTTTTGGCACAGCAAAAACTTATTAAAACGTATTAAACTCCAAATAAATTTGTAAATTTATTTAATTTTTAAAAACATTTCTTAATTGAATCAAATATGGTTAATGTCCACGGCCTACTTCACCACAAGGCGTATAGGCCCACATAAACGTAAACTGGTTTACAACAACGTCAACCATCATTTTCTCAAAAGGGTTTACTCTAAAAAGCATGCGCCCTACTGAAATGTGCTGAAAGCAACAACAGAAGATTCTTTGCAAAAGGAAAAGTAGTAGCATAATAATGTAAATCCATTAATAAATTAAGGTAACATTAAATTAAAATAACGCATTATCGTAACTTTTCTATATGAATGAAAAGCGCGACAGAACAGCTACGAGATGAAAGCGTGGTTAAAGTATTAAAGTAGATACTAGGTTTGGGGGAAAGCCTGTGGTTTGATTCTTCTAACAAATGTACTGTATGTAACATCATGATGTTATTAATAAGCGTGTGATAAAGATTTCAAGTTCCCCATAAACAGTTTCACGTAGCCTACAGGGACAGCAAACAGATACTGAGGGTCTTGATATGATGACAGGAAGTCAAAAGGAGGAAAACGCCGTTTCCGGTCATTTTTGGCGAGATCTCCAATTGGATCTGTTAAAAATTGAAATAATGTAAAGGCTTTTTAAAAACAGCCTCACATACATCCAAAAATGTAACTGAGGCCACACACCGCTTTGTTTCTGCGATGCCGAAAAAGTTGGAAACCACAGTGTTGTATTTAAAAATCCTGTTATGTCATATAATGTCAATCATGACTTTATAATTAAACAAAAAATTAAAACGTGTTAGCTTGTGTAAAATCTTCATCTTAGAGGTAACTATAGGCTAAATCTGTCAAAGAAAGTCTAATAAAGCTAATAGCGTAGAAAGTAGCAGAAACCATAAATACTCACATTTATACTGAGTGGCTAACTTAATTATTTCCCACCTGTGGCTACGGGATTACTGATGGCTAGCTCTTTATCAGTAGGGATGAGCCCTCTGCGCCTGAAGATCAGAGGGTGTGACATGCGCACTGCACGGAGCGCTCACAAGCTGCGGACACAATGCAGGAAAATAAAGCCCAGAGCTCGCTTCTTGACATTTCCCCGTCTCTCAATAAGCTGTTATGACTTATTCCATTAGGACAGACTAATTTTTTTCTACTCGACAAAGGCAAATCTGTCCCGTGTACTCTCGAAAGTGGTGTGTGTGCTGTGCTTGGAGCTCAGTGGGGACCTGTTGATCGTCCACAGGCGCTGCAATGGAGGTGAGATGAACCTTTCTGCACATGGCGTTTCAGTGCTATGGATAAGAAATTTAAAAAAAATAAATAAATAGAAATTACCAGTGTGCTCGATTAAACATCAGGTGAACTGCTAATGGGGACGTGTAATTCTACTGTAAACCATTAATCTCTAATATATTTAGTAATATTTGGAAGCTGTCAGCATTGCTTTAATATCAGCAGGGACAAGCTAAAGATTTAATTACCCTGCCGTGAAGGGTATGTATTACTGCGCATACCTCTCTTGCCTATCAATGGCTTCTAATTAGATTTAAGATGAGTCGTTGTCATTTCTAGTCGATCGTTTTGCAAATCAAATCATGCCACTGGCATCATGCTTCGAAGCCATACAGACTGCCCCCCTCCTCCCCTCCTCAAGTCAGAATGATGGAGGCTATGTGTCGCTGTTAATTAGCATCATTGGTTGATAAAGCCTTTTGGAAAAGATTTAAATCCCGCTAAAGAGCATTAGGTGACAAGCAAGGCGCTTGCAAGCAAGCATGGCACGGGCCTACAAGACGTAGGGTAAAAACGATACATGCTGCTAAACAGGTGTAAAAAGACAATGAAGTAATATTACATTGTTACAGGATTCATAATTCTCTAAACTTTATTGAAATCATCTTATGTTTTCATCCCTTTCAGTTTCATTAAAAATGTGAAAAGGAACACATTAAAAAAATCTGCACAATCACCTTTGTTTTTATTCATCTTGCAGTTGTCAAACAGACAAGTATGACATTTAACTGAGGGAAGAAGCGGGAGGAAATCTTCACTCATACCGATCTGTGAGGCAACGATGGAAATCATAGGTAAGTGAATTCAAACAGCTGAAAATGTAGAGCACTCTCAGTTACCGCTGTCAGACTGCACACCACTGCCGTCATTAAGCTCTTACAATTAAGGTGTCAGGCATGTCTGCCTCAGCCAGACAGTAAGGGAACAGTTACACGTGCAGGTGGCGAAAGAACTCACAATCTGGTCAGTAGTCAAAACTTTGCGGTGAAGAGTTACGGGGTTTTAACCTTCTGCCAAGTACAATTACTGCAGTTGTGGCTTGTGGTCATCAGCTGCTACTCAGCTAAATAAACAAGGGCAGTATGACCTGATGAAACGCTTCATCGTTCGCTCTGCGGTGAAGTCGAACGCCTCCTTTAGTATGATGAAGTATAGGTTTTTGTTGTTTGTGTGTGCGTGTGTAACCACTTTAATTCAGTTTCTGCCTCCATATCAAGCCACAGATTTTAAATCAAAATAACTCACACAGGCAGCCTTGGTTCATAGATTTTTCTTTTCAGACAAGCACTCGAACCTCGAAAGCACAGTTGTTTTTATTGTTTACTCTTTTGCTTTCCCACCGGTACTAGTAAGTGTTGACATTTAATAGCTTAATATCAAATACCTGGCTTTGTGTCACGGTCTCAGCAGCTGCCACAGCATGCGAAAACTAATGCAAAGCCAAATGGGATAAATCCTGTTTCTGAATGACACAAATAATCTACAATTTCTTCGCAGATACCCAGTGTGCCTTGGCGGCGGTGGAGAGACTGCAAGCCAAATTGAAGGAAAGAGGAGAGGCCCCCACTCAGGAGAAGCTATCCCTGCTGAAGACTGTCCTGCAGAGCCCACTGTTCCTTCATATACTGAGCTTACAGCAAGCTCAACAGAAGCCTGCGGCGAAGGTATAGCGAAAAGCCAGAATGTGTGGGCGTTTGGTACATTTGAATGGTGAGGAAGGAGCCCGGAATCATTCCCAAAATACTGAATGCAGGAACCAGACTGGATGAGTAATCAGCTTACCTAAGCTTACCACTAAAGCCCTGAGAAAGAGGGAGAGAGGGGAGGAGGAGGGAAGAAGTGGATATATCAGGTTGAAGAGTTTACAGAAGTCGTCTGTAACATTGTCATAAGTTTTGAGCTGATGTGTGTGTCTGTTTGTGTGTGTGTGTGTTTGAGTTGTGATGTATACAGCTCTGGATGCCACTCATCCAAGAGTTTTTATGCGTACAATCCTGCACTTCCACGGCGCATGTATCTGCGTACTCATTTGGTGTCTACCAGTTGTGACATCCTCTAATAGGCAAAGTTTAAACACACAGGGAATATTAGATTACCATGTGGTTTGGGCTTGTAGCGTTCTGGCATCTTTGCATTCTGGGAAGCGCGGCACTGGAGTGTGTCAAAGATCTCTAGATATTTTTAACAGGACAGACGCTGACATGGTTTTTATTAGTTGAGATTCTTTGCACATTTCTTTTTTTATGCATAGCATTTGGAATGTGAGGGTAAAGTTTCCTGTTGGTATGGTTTTTTTATAGCGTTCTCTCTTTAACGCTCTTTCTGCCATTTCAACAGGTGTCAAAATTGTTAGGATAGAATACAAATCACAAATAGGCACCCACTGAAACTTGCTTTTAAACTCTGAAACAGAAAACGTTGCAGACAAAAGAGAACACTTTTGTGGTTATGTGGTATTAAAAAGAAGCCTTTATCTCAGATCCTTAAGTTTCCACTCTGCAATCTTTTCCCTCTCTGCTCCATTTTACATCTTTCTGTATTTTTTCCCTTTCAGTTAACACACATTAACCCCACCCCCACCCAACCCATTCTTCTCTCTCCCCTCTTCTCCTTCTCACATCTTTCTCCATTGTCTCACATTGGCCTCCTTTCTCAATTGCTCTATGCTTTTTGATTTGCCTCCATCGCTCTCTTACCATCATCCTGTTCCTCTCTGACTGCACGTCTCCATTCTTCAATTTGTGTCAACCCCGTCACCCATCTTCCTGTCACCCATCTTTTTTTCCTTCTTTCCCTTGTATCCTTCTCTTATATATCCTCTCTCCATGCACTCCACCCAATCCATCTCTTCTGTTGCTTCATGCATTCAATTTAAACTCTTCCTTCCTGTTGTGTAAATCTAAACAGGGGAAGGGCATTTCCAAGTCCGTGTCCATGAACTGTGGCCCATGCCAGGGTGAAGCACTGGGCACAAAGACGCTGAGCCACAGCGACTCGTACACATGGGCCGTGGAGAACAGAAGGTCCAGCTCTGCCAGGGACGGCAGCATCTCCTCTCATGGCTCACAGGAGCTGTCCTTCTCAGACATCTACCCAGATAACTATGTTCCAACTGAATCTCAGGTATATAAAAATAGCCACGATAAAAGAGAGGTCATTCAGGAGTAGTTTAGTATTAGGGAGTCTTTTATTTTCAACATGCACAGACTACGAATCAATCAAATGATTTCTTTTATTCGGTTGTAAAAAGGAGCACATTACTATTTGAAATGTCACATTTCACATTACAGAATATCTCTTTGCATTTTGTAAGTCAGGCCCAGTTGGCTATCATCAAATGA